ACACCTTACGACGCATAAACGGACCGTATACGGCCGTAATATCGGGCACAGAAATACGGCCCTATCATAATGAGATTACGCCCCGTATACGGTGCCGTATTACTGTGCCCATGATTACGAGAAAATACGGTCCGTTTACGGTGCCGTATGAAGCAATTTACGGTGAAAATACGAATAGCCGTATCTATAGACCTGGGAAATTAAAGAATTAAAAATTAAAGCAAACGCAGCAACAAAACAAAAACAATTCAAGAAAGCAACAAAACAAAAACAATTTGAGGAAGCAACAAAACAAAAACAATTTGAGGAAGAAGAAGCAACAAAACGGAAACAAATTGAAGAAGTAGAAGCAACAAAACGATTAAAAATCGTATGCGAACAATGGTCATCATTAACGAATATTAACTCGGAAGAATTTTCATGTTCTCATGATTTTTATAATTTTTGTGTAAAGAAAAATATACGTGAATTCGACGTTAATTATCTATTAATAGATAATGAACATTTTAATAATAATGTACAGTTGTGTATTGAAAATTATTTAAATAATGTTTTGCAATTGTTGAAAAAACCAGAAAGACAATGTCAAGAATTATTTAATAGATTTATAATGGAATTATTATTAATATTTAATGATTGTACACAATTAAAATTGATGAATGTATCAAAATATAATTTGAAAGAAAAGTATTATGATTTTAAATTTATGTTTAAAAATATTAAAATCAATATAAATGAAGACGATAAATGTCTTGATGATTTTATTGTATATGTTGGTGAATTAAAAACTTTTAATATTCGTATAAAAGATAAATCTGCCAATGGACAAACATTACAATATTTACAAAGATTATTAGATATACAAGGTCGTAAAAAAATCTATGGTTTTTTAACAAATATTACGCATATAAGATTTTTTTATGTTGAAAAGGATCCAATTTTTGGTGTATATAATTATTTTAAAAGTCGAACTTTAAAAATGCTTGATTATTCATTTAAAGAAATAAGAAAAACAAATATGAAAACAACAACAATAAATAAACAATTAAGACAAATATATCTTAATAAAGATACATGGATAATATTTACAAAATTTGTAATAATGAATATAGACTTTTATCAATATACAACATTAATTGAAAATGATATTAATAAATTATTTAATAATAAATATGATATTATAAGAAAATTAGGTAGTGGTTTAACTTCAAATGT